AACACTGAAATACACGTATGAAAACAGAAAGGCGGTAAGTTAAAAACTACGTCTTACCTTGAGGGTTTACTCTAAAGTTGTAACTGCGTAATCGTAGGCTTATGAGGCAGAAGCCTATCAATGCAAAAATTGACAACAACAAATAACAGGTTAAACCACGCATTGTATCCGATATCAAACTAATATATAGGAGTTTTTAATATAGGCGTGCAGGCCTGTGTGGTTATGAAGCCCTGCTGTTACTGTATCAATGTAAATATTATATCATGGGCTCATTAATCTCTAATGAAATTGTTAAATCACTTTGTCGATAACAGGTAGGGTTGTCATTGAGCTGAAGCACCCTTGCTTTCTGTTGATGCGTTTTTCAACTACAGAAAACATTTCCATAAATAACGATCGGTTTGTGAGATAACTCCGTAACACAGTCGTCAGTAGTATGATGCCGTCAGATTCGTTTTATGTCGGAATTGTCCAAGAACCTTATTCTCAGTTCAAGAGTGCTTACAACGGATTCTCCTTGTGGAATAAATTCCACGTCCCAATCGACGAATTTCTCAGAGCCCCACAAACATACTGGAATCGCCACGTTTCCAGCAGAGAGAGATGATTTGAGGAATAATGAAACTGCCATTCAACATTACGTTGATTATCTTGATTCCAAGTTTGATTTTGTGATCGTTATGGAGTATTTTGACGAAAGTTTGATTTTCTTGAGGCGTCTTTTATGCTGGACTATGTGTTGTACTAGCCCATTAATGTTAAGCCGTATATGTTTGACCCAAAGGTAGTGGCAAACTCATCGTTTCAAATACAACATAAAAAAGTGGAGCAAAGCAGACTATTATCTGTATCACCATTTTCTGTCGAAATTTAAAGCAACTCTAAACCAACAAGGACAAGAATTCTTTGAAGAACTTCGTGTATTTCGCCAAGCTCTGCGAATAATAGGAAAATGTGGCAACCTTAGACGGGTCAGGATAGAGGGAAAGGGTGCTCTTGGTCTCCTCTACACCTCTGACACAAACATCAAGTGTACCTGACCTGGAGGCACAGTGACACTGAACTCTGTTTATTTTCATAAAAGGTATTTATTGAGGGATTTTAGAGACCAATTCCCAGAGATATAGTACTAACTTTGGATCGATCTATCTCCACGGGGATTCTCACCAAATTGCCATCAACTTAATCGGCTTAAATATCTGTCAAGCCGCTAAAGTTGATAGCAATTTAGCGTGAATCCCCGTGGAGTTAGACCAATCCTATTGGATCGATCTATGCATGGGAACCCAGTCTTAAATACCTTGCGGGCCAGGTTCTTCCAATTCGGTGGTTTCTACAGTGTGCGTACTGGTACAGGCACTCCTGCTAATTTTGCACCGGAAGATTTAAAAATGAAATGTTACTATAAATAAGCATCTGAACCGAAGAACATGATTCTTGTTGAATAATTTATCTATTGTTCAACTTAACGGTAATATAAAGCTACCAGCATCATGTGCTCTTCCTTTCAACAAATAAACGCATAATAAATGCACTTTAAAAAGATCACATTTATGATCCCAGGCTGTTGCTCTATGTTAATAAAATAAGAATTTTATATCATTTAAATTATCGTTCTACGTGGATCGATGTATATCTCGCTAAATGCAGTCAGATTAACACTCCTCTATTTGTCGAGTAGAATACAACACAACTGGTGATTATACGAGTTGGCCACTCAATATATTGTATCCAAGATACCCACTTTACAGAGAGGGACAAATCACAAGTACATTCCTTGTGGGGATATAAAACCCTTCTGAGCCCTGGCAAATCAAATTCAAGAGGTACAGCAATCCTTTTCAACAATAACTTTGAATTTAAGATAATGAGAACGTTGTTCGGAAAAGATGGAAATTATTTGATTACCGAAATTGAACTTATGGATACCGAACAGACCACGCAATGATACACCTGAAACTTACTCTCTCTGAGCAGAAAAAAGGGAAAGGTTTCTGGAAAATGAATAACAGCCTTCTAAAAGATTTTGAGTATATAAGAGGAGTAAAGAAAATAATAGAGGATCTAAAATATCAATATTGTGCCAGTACATATAACAAAGCAGAGTTATGTAAAATTAGTGACAATGATCTGGACTTTCTTGTGGATGAGCAAGCATTTTTGAACAGATATTATTACAGGTTAGAGGCTATACAATTGCCTACAGTTCGGCAAAGAAAAAGGAGAAAAATATAAGAATGAAGACCCTGGCTGAAAAAATTAAGAAATTATATTCCATGTATACAGATAACCCCACATCGAATTTAGAAAACCAGCTCCAGACTCTGAAACTAGAGGAAGAAGAAATGAGACATGAACATATTAGAGGGGTCTATATAAGAACCAAAGTAAAATGGTCAGAGGAAGGGGAAAAACCAACTAAATATTTTTTATCCCTGGAAAAAAGAAATTTTGTAAATAAAACTGTAAAGAAAATTATAAGGGAGACAGGCCGTATTATTACCGATCAAGCAGAAATTTTGAAAGAAATCAGAGATTTCTATAACCATCTTTACTCGAAACAAGATAACTACTCTGAAATTTTTGATTGGAATAATATAATCGATAAAGACAAAATAAACATATTAGATGACAATACGGCTAGGCAATTAGAGGGAACAATTACTTATCAGGAAGCTCTAATAGCCTTAAAAAGTATGAAGAACAACAAATCACCTGGCCCCGACGGTTTTTCTGTCGAATTTTTTAAATTTTTCTGGAATGATATAGGAACGTTTCTTGTGAGATCATATAATAAGGGGTTTGCTAAAGGTCACTTGTCCATTACCCAGAAACAAGGGGTTATTTCAATTTTACCCAAAGGGGATAAACCACGGGAATTCTTAGAAAATTGGAGGCCGATATCTCTCTTAAACATCTCATATAAAATCCTCTCTGCTTGTATTTCAAATAGATTAAAAAAAGTTTTACATTTGCTTATACATGAAAATCAAACGGGATTTTTGAAAGGACGGTTCATTGGTGAGAATACTAGAATTGTTTATGATGTTTTGCAAATTACAAAAGATAAAAAAATCCCAGGAATGATACTCTCAGTAGATTTCCTTAAAGCATTTGATAGCATATCTTGGGATTTTATGAAAAAAACTCTCTCGTTTTTTAATTTTGGTGATGACTTTAAAAAATGGATAAATGTTCTATACAATGATCCTGAATTATGTGTAATACAAAATGGTATTTTCTCTAATTTCTTTAAAATTGGCAGAGGCTGCAGACAGGGAGACCCTGTATCACCCTACATTTTTAATTTATTCTATATATATAGTTAAAAAATAGAAATTTCAAACTCGAAGACAGGCTTGTATCCCAAGGTGCAATGCATGCCTACATCCATGGACAAGTTTTTACCTCCGCCAAGGAGATTATGTTTTCACCCGTTTGTTTGTCTGTAATCAACATAACTTCAGTGAATTCAGTGAATCATCAATTAATAAAATCACACATGGGATATTACATTTACAAAGGTGCATGCCGATTTCAGTGAGGAATGAACTGGGAAAAGTGTTATAGTTAAATGCCACAATATTTGACAGAAATGTACACATATCCTTCAAAACTTAAAGAATGCACTAGATAAAAAATTTATTGATTCATGCTGAAGTTTACAGGTCTTCTACTTCATGTAAAAGAAAAAATATTTTACGTAGAAATGAATGAAAAAGTGAGATAATTTTCTTATACTTTGTATAAGAATTCAGCATAAAAACTGTCTTCATCAATCATCTCCATTTAAGAAACATCATGTAAAAATACACATCACATGTATGTATATATATTACATCATGAATGTATCACACATACAGAATATATAAAGAATACCTACAGAGCACTGATTCTTTGCCAGATGTAAAACAATTACTAAGTAAATACTTCAGTAAGTAAGTTTTGGCCATAACCTTGCATATCATACCAGTATTTCTGTATTTTCAAAAATCTTGGATGAGATACTTTCATTGAAACACACTAATGAAATTAAACATAAAAAGGACTAAAATAATAACTGTAATAGTTATGTACTGTTATAGCTTATTTTGTTCTTCCCTATATCGTGATTATCCTAAAATCTGTATATCAATATAACACAATTGGCATCTTATTCTCAATATATAGAAAGCAAGTGTTTAAATACAGCAGCGTCTTCATTCCTTGCACATTACAGATCAGTTATCACAATAAAACAAACATTCAACACACAAAATATCAATAGAAAATACAAAAGACGCACATAAAATTCATTTCTGGAAAAATGGTTAGGTTTTAAACAGCTTCAAAATCTTCTAAAAGTCAGACAGAGAGAGGATCAGACACAACAGTGTAAACATTATAAAAAATAATTCAAACATTTTTAGTAAATGAAAACTTGATTCGGGTTGAATACTCCATAGGGTTGTCTTGTGGAAATATTACATGTGACTATACTTGAAGAAGTATATCATAAAAGCTTGGGTTACCATAGTAACTGCAACATGGAAAAGTACACCTCGATAAAACCCATTTTGTTGTTGCAAAATTTGACCAAACTATGATTATAATATTACATTATACAAGTGTTAATTCAGAAAAAACTTTTCATATAATCAGATTCCAGTTTTTTAGCATAATTCCTTGTCATCACAACAAAGTTTAAAGACTTTCACATCATACACCAGGAACTTAAATATGTACGTACAAGTGTCCACTACATACAAGAATTTAACACTGATGTAGCAAAAATACAAAACCTCACATTATCAAGAATATGTTTTGCTCTTTTGCTGTTTCATCTTTAATTCTACTTCTTTCCTGAAATATTTGATTTAAACACAATAAATTTTTGTTCTACAATGTTCTTTTTCATTTATTTTAGTATAAAATTTTTCAATGATTATTTAAAGTTATAATAACCTTCTTTACAAATAATCCGCATATATATATATATATATATATATATATATATATATATATATATATATATATATATATATATATATATAGTGCCACCTTATTTACTTCATAGTGAAGAAATTTGGTAGCTTCAATTCTTTGCAACAACATTAAGTACCATAAAACAGATTTTCTTGTCTTATCATTAATGATGGGAGTACAAATGTACAGCCGTGAAAAATCTGTGGAAAACTACAAGCACAGAAACAGAACTGAAGATATATCTACAGGGTCAATACGGGCCTTTTATCCTTACCTCCACAAGAGGTAGTCTTTAATAATTTGTTAAAAATTATGCAAATAAAAGTTCTGATTTATTGTCATTGAAAAAAAAAAAACATCACGGAAAGGCATATGTTTCTTCATCTCACACATGGTATGCTATGCATGTCTTGTAGACTTAGTGCAGTGCTGCCCTCTTCTGGCTGCTTCATGCACTGCATTCATCACAGGTCTACTGCTTGTAGTTATCATATGGGGGTGGGGGAGCCACTGGGTAGGGAGGATCTAAAATAAAAACATTTAATTTACCTGAAGATATGGTTTTGCAAGATTATAAATAATACATATATATAATTTCAGTTTAATCTTTACTATGCAGATATATACATGTTTAGATTCCATTTCAATAATGTCCATTTCATAACAGAGGCAGTGCCATTTCAATGCTACATTCACTGCTTTAGACTAAAGTGCAGATCAGAAGCCTGGCAAATTCCTCTGATTAACAAAGCATTTCAGTGCAGCCATCTTGAATATAAGATAATCACTTGAGTACAAAAATGCAGCCCCAAGGCATTCATAATCTTGATTAATAAATAATGAAGGTTTTCTAAAGTCATTAAAGGGATACTTTTTTATTTTAGCCAAATAATGTTTTGCCCATTACTCAAACATACAGTACATAAACCAGTCATATATTTTTCATTTCTATAGCCACAGATCTTTACAAGCCCTTATAATGTTGATAAAACTGAAGAACTTACTGTCTCCTGTGTTAAACCCTGCAGGAGGTGGATAAGGCTGTGGGGGGTATGGCTGAGGGGGGTAACCAGGTTGGTCAGTGGGTGGATAGGGGGAGAAGCCTGGACCAGAGGCATCCTTTTCACCTGAAATGAAACATTTCACCTGTGATAATATAAATATGGAGAAACATCTGGAAAATATTCCAAATAAATTACTTTACAAGAAAAAAAAAATAGGAAATCCAGGAACAGTTGTCAGAATATCCCCACATTCACTGTGAAGATGCTTATTACTTTTCATTCTACATTTCATCAAGGCCTACAGTAGAAAAATAACCAAATCAGGTAATGCTTAAATAATACAACAAACAAGACAGCAATTTACAGCTGATCAGGCACATCTTGCAGAAGTGACAATGCCAATATAACACAGAGCACTTACACAAATTCAAATGGAATACTTCATCATACATCTGTTGATACATTTGTCTGACTCATCAGAAAAGCATGCAAAAAGCAAAATAACTATTCCCCAGGGTTTCTTGGAGGACAGTGGTGGCAACACAGAGATATGTCGCCCAAGTTATCAGCGTTAATAGCTTATGATTAATTTAGACCAGGTATGGCTCGGCTAAGCAGACAAAAAAGGCTTTTACAATAATTACTGGGCAACACAGAGTGGAGGAAAGTTTGGGGATTAGAGCAACTTAGTGTGTGTTTGAGTGTGTTGAATCATGCAAGCTTCAAATAATCTACTATGTTTTCAACAATAGTCCCCTTTCACCAAGAGAAAACTATACAACTGAAAAGACAAATAACTGAGTTTCACCATAGCAAGACTTTTGGAAGATAGTTTGTATACCATTTCATTATATTTACTGAGTAACAGTTAATACTCAACCATGCAACCAAATTACGGCCTCAACCACTTTTTGAAAGAATAATCTTGGTCTGTATCAATAACCCACAAATAAGGGTGCCCATTTTACCTGAGCTGCTCATAAGCGGTTGGCTGGTTTCATCTAAAATAAGTTGAATTGGAATTCAGTGTTGGTTTAAGCACCATATTAAACCAATGCTACTACTACCCATATGTACACACATTACCAGGTGCAGTCACAGTACACCAAGTCAAAGACTGCATTCCCATAGATTTAGATCGATCCATCTAGAACGACCTAACTTCCTGGGGATTCACGCTAAATTAAAGGTAGTTAATTACCCCCTTACAGCTTTTAGTAGGCGGGGCAGATGCTTAAGCTGGCCAAGCTGACAGTAATCTAGTGAGACTCCCCACAGGGATAGATCGATCTAAAATCTGTGGGAATGGGGTCAAATAGTGTACTACAGAAATACTACACTGCAACATACTTCAATCATGTACTCTGTGCTTTACACTTCATACCCAATGTAAACATCACATTTTCCATTCAAATCAAAGCACTCATACCAACTGCATTTTCTGAATTAAGTTTGGAATTTTCTACAGTTTGAAGGAAATTTCATGCCACCTCTTGGCATTAAAATTATCTATGTGTTAATTGAAAGTTTTCAGAACTGTGCTTGATTTTAGCCTCCTAGTACTGAACTGTTTTGCACAGAAGGGACAAAAAGACAATGCTTTTAAAATTTTGTTATAGTGAAGGCTATGCTATGAAATGGCCCAACATCAAAACATCTATTCACATATTCCTTTTCAGGTTTATTGTATCGCTAAACACTAGTATAAACATTTAGCAATACTATACTCACCGTTCCTGTTAGAAAACATGTCTTAAGGAAGGATAACACATACATGTAGGATAATGCACACCTGTGGGAAGGACAACACTTACCTGTAGGACAACACACACCTGTGGGAAGGACAACACTTACCTGTAGGATAACACACACCTGTGGGAAGGACAACACATACCTGTAGAACAACACACCTGTGGGAAGGACAACAGTTACCTGTAGAACAACACACCAGTGGGAAGGACAACGCTTACCTGTAGGATTCAGAGGATATGCTGGGGGAGGCTGAGCCATCTGAGGTTGATAGGTTGGTACACTACTGGGATAACTTGTCATTTCTGTAGTTCCTGTGGTGGTGGCTGAAATGATTAACACAGCTTTAAGTTTAGTTTGACAAATTACACTGCTATCCATCAAGTTGTCACGTCTGGTTATTGACCTGATACACACCAGAAGAAATTAAGCCGTTTGCAGCCCACGTAATTTGCTTGACGTGAACAGTGCAAGGGAAGGTCAAAAACATCAATACAATGTTTTATCTATTTGACAGATATGGTGTTAATGTATATATGGAATCAACAGAATACATGGTTAAATGATCTATCAAATATGAAATCTTTCTTGAATATCTTTTTAAGTGATTTTAAAAATCTCATTAATGTAAGATTCAAGTAGGTGTGTGTGTGTGTGTGCGCTACTGAACATGCGTGTGTGTGTGCTACTGAACATGTGTGTGTGAAGGGAAGACCTTGAATATCAACCTTGTTGTGAAAACCTGACTAAAAAAAACATTAGCATCAATGGGCCTGGAGAACCTCAATTTTTACAAGTATAATGACACATTATGAAGCAAAAAAATACAGCACATGAAAACCGTTTCTAATGTAAGAAAATGTTTTACTGAAGTATGAAAAATAAATCACCCTACTGTCTACCTATTTTTCAAATACAGAGGCATCAGAGACCTAAAATTAGCAACCCTCCCTTCACTTCCTGCACCATTCCTAAATATCAAGGCATTATGGATAGTTTGTGTATGCTTTGAGTGTGCTTACACATAGCTACCAGGTCACACATGCCAGGTATTTGGTACTATGTTGCAATTATGCATTACTTTTTCTCTATCATCCATGTAAAACTATATAAGTGGCATTTGTAGTCTCAGATAAATATGTACCTCAACATTTTTTGGAGGGGGAGGGGCATTAAAAATTAAATCTGACATGAAAATTCTGAATTTAATAAAGCAAATAATTAAGATGCATGAGACATTCTATATCTTAAACTGCCATTCTTTTTACAGAAGAATTTTACCTATAGTCTACACAGTCATTTTTATCATGATATTTATATTTTTACACAAGGGCACCAGTAGTATCATTTCTGGACTTACATTTACATGAAGCTCTCCTCTTCCTTGCCTGACAACAACAGCAAGCAATGCATCCAATGACGAGAGTTACAGCAATCAATATTCCTATTACAACACCTGCCACTCGACCACCACTGAAATATAATGTCAATTTTGGTACTGAAGTATTTTTATTGACAGAAAAAAATCAATCATCCTTTTTTATGTCCTTCCTCTTTACAAATGTTACATTTAGGTTTCAGTAAGCAGCATTCATCAACTTGTATGATGAAATATACATTAAAGGGATAACAACTGTTCATATGATATCCATATTTCACGATAAATACAGCGTTAACAACTCATAGATATATAATAATTCTATTTTACTACCAAAACGGGAGTCAGCACAATTATTCTAGAATTTGTGCTTGCCATCACATCATGTGACCTCCATAGATAGCTACACTTTGTAATAAACTCTTAAGAGAACATTACAAAAAAAACTTTTTAGAAAAAAAAAATGAGGGACTAACTTTGAATGATGAAGAGGACTCACTGACCACTGGTAAGTATGGGAAAATTGTTGTTTACTTCAGAAAAATCAAATTTTTGACCAAAACGAGGAGCTGTTATCCATTTAACAAGATTTCAAAAAACAAAGATAAATTTCAATTATTAGTCTCAAAATCAACTTAATCCCTTACGTAAGTATACATATATCCCTTGGATCTACTTACTCATCCCAAAAGCCACAACAGTACTGCTGCAGCTCTGGTCCACAGCAATACTCCAGCTCATCAGGCTGGTCCCACTCAGGGCAGATAAACTCGTTAAAAAGTGATCCATTTTCCTGGAACCTCCTAGCGCTGTTATAACAACGTGTGGGCTCTGAAAGCATACAGTGAATAATACTGTTAGGAGATTGAACTTAATTCAAAAGTTCATTAGTGGTGTGTTATGAATGCAAATCTTATGGTATTTACCAAATTTATGGCTATGCCAAACTTGCTTGGCCTATGTACAAATACACAATAAAAAATGTTTCTTCTATCATTAGTGGCAAACACAAAAGGACTAACAACCTACAATGAGAGTTTTAAAACATCATTATCTTTGTTTTGAGCACCAAAAGCCTCTCACTTACTGGTGTCCTATTTCAGATATAAAAGTTCAAAAATAAATGTCCAACAAACCTGCACCAATAAATATTCAATTGCATAATATTTAAGCCATGTTTCTATATTTTGAGTCAATCAGAAGACTCTTTTGATTTTTTCCTTTCCACCTTCTCTCTCTCTCTCCCTTCTCTCTTTCTCCCCTTTCTCTCTCCCTCCTCCCTCTCTCCCCCCCCCCTCTCTCTCTTTCTCTCTCTCTCTCTCTCTCTCTCTCTCTCTCTCTCTCTCTGGTACTACCAACTCAGCAGTGTTCAAATGGCAGCAAATGATGCCCAGCCAGATGACAAAACGATCAATACAATTTCCTTTCATGCTGACAGCCCTAACAGCATATATTGGATCTCCCATTACTAACATACTTGTCACACCGCGGCTGGGTTCTATTGATTTTTGTCTTATACCACTCACAGTTGAATTGTATGATTCATATCTCAGTTTTTTTTTTTAAATACATCCTTTTTAACGTGTGTGTTTTATTTATGTTTCCTTCCTATTTCAAATAAAGTTACTTATGTTTTATTCACCTTTGAAAAATAGAACTTTTGCTGCAAATAGACTTTATATTTTTGCTTTCCGCCACATGACTGCATATTGCACAATCTGGCACCCTGGTTGGGAAGGCACTGAGCACAAGAGTATTTAAGAGAACTACCACACTACAATACTGTTTACATTAATGCAAAAAAATAACTATTTCTGTGCCTCTACAATAATCTTCTATAAAAAGAAGCTATGCAGATGCATCTATTTGAAGTCCTGTTGGCAGTTAATTAGATATCAGGTCTAGCACTCTGGTTGTCAGTTATATTTAAAGAACAAAACACTAACCAGCCCACTCAGTGCGCTCTCACCAGATACCACACCATGTGCTGCAGTTTAAATTAAAGAAGAACCCAGCTAATATTCCGTCTGCTGACAAGTCAGACTTCGTCAGGAAAATGAGGGCTGTGATAGGTATTACCACCTATCATCTGGCAGGTGTTTTGGTTAAGTCAGGTCCCCCCTTCCCTGATCCCATCCCTACTTAATTAATTAATTAATTAATTAATAGTATCTGTACCTCTGTCTGGGTCCATCTTGTATCTTCTTCGTCTTTGGTACCGTGACAGGCCATACACTGTGCCCACTGCTGCTGCTGTTTTCCACCATGTGCTGCTTCTGGTACGACTTAAACTTGAACTGGACCGTGATCTGGAACTCCCTCGTGAACGACTGCCTCCACGAGCACCACCACCACGACCACCACGGGCATCTACATATTCTGTGTGAAATAAGGATTAGAAAAGAATATTTTTTAGAAAACTTTAGCTGGAAGGAAACAATGGCAGCTCAATGCCATTGTGATGTAACAATAACAACTAGCAAAAAATAATAAGGTTTGAAATTTTCATAAAATTTTCACTGGTCAGTGATTATAATTATGATGATTGTCACTTTTATTATTATTTTGATTGTGTCAACAGAAATGCAAGGGCCCAATTGTCAAATGCACCAGGAAGATGGGGGGAAAACTATAAAATCACCTCAAGGCTTCGTGAAAATTTATAACCCTATTCCACTCTTGCCAAGGTAAGTACAACACAGTTCCATTTTCACTAACTAGGAAATATCTGTACTAGTATCCTGTCATTTGATCAGGGGCTTATCTCTGCTTTGGCATCCTCCAAGGCCAGAGAATGTGGGCAAGTCCACGGGGAATTCCTGATCAGTAAAGGATACCAAGGTGAAAATATCGGGACTGTTTTCAGCTGCCTACTTAAGACTAATAAAGATAGATGTGAGTCAGAAAAGTTACACACAGAAATATCAACTGCTCTTCAACCAAGCTTTTGTCTCGCTTCTTGTCATGGGCATCATGTTAAACTTAAGTATTTCAATGGAAGAATACTGGCAGTTTTATTTGTCTGCAGTGCTAGTAGTTGAGTTGAAGTTGTTCAAACACTTGGATTAATATGATTTCTAGTAAGCTGATGCTATCCAGGATTAAAAGCATCTAAAACAAGGATATCTACCAAGTGTGACATCAAAGCTTTAAGAGACTAGAATTTGGCATGTGTGAGAATTTGCTTTTTGATGGTGCCAACTTTTCAGCAAAAAGGATGAAATGCTCTTTGACTGGATTCACAACAGCAGATAAACACATCTGTGGATCAAATATGGCAACACAGTAAAAACTTGCCACCTAAATCCTTAATAGACAATGAATAGATTCCCTGGGGTATTACCCAACAAGCATTCAAGTGGATCGGCCATATTTGATCTGCAGATCTGTTATAATTGCCATTTTAGAAAAAAACGATTAATAAAGTGACAAGAAAAGCATAGTGAATTTTTACTATTGTCCATAGACTATAATTCTGATATCACTTTAGAGAAAATAACTCAGAAAATAACTAGGAAAATATTTGTAGATAAATTCTGTCATATTATTTCTGACCCCATTCTGCCCCAAATTTTGCAATTTTTCACATGATTCTCATTAGGAAATATTGCGAAATTTTCAACCCATGAATCACGACTGAATTTTTTTAAGAGAAGTAATTTACCTAAAATTTACGAAATTCATATTTGACAAATCTCAGGCTCATATCTAAGTACCCAACAAGAATATACTTACAGTATAACTAAAGGATAAACTTCAATGTAATTAAAAAATCTTAATACTGTAGGTTAATTACTTTGTATATGGCTATCCTACCCTTCATTGCTTGGAGCCTACAATGGAGTTAACATGCCCACTCACTCATACCTACATGTATTTTATTTCTTTTAATAGGAAGAACGTTGTCAACCAAGACATAAGATATAATGCAAACAAAAATGCCCCTGGAACTCAAAGAGAATGGAGGAGGGGGGGGGGGCAATCTTATTGAAAATAACTGTTCATTAACTTCTTTGACAACAGGTTATATTTACAAACGCGGCAATGCAACATTGCAATAAGATGCATGTCCGATTATGGTCACTTTCTTCCCCTGAATCAATATATAGTGGTCTCTATTTTAGAGACCGGAGTCCTAGCACTAGTGCGGCGGCCACCTAGTACGGACCCAACTACAGCATCCAGGTAAGCACTTCGGCATANGTGTGTGTGTGTGCTACTGAACATGCGTGTGTGTGTGTGCTACTGAACATGCGTGTGTGTGTGCTACTGAACATGTGTGTGTGAAGGGAAGACCTTGAATATCAACCTTGTTGACCTTAAAAAACCTTTAAAAACCTTTAAAAAAACATTAGCATCAATGGGCCTGGAGAACCTCAATTTTTACAAGTATAATGACACATTATGAAGCAAAAAAATACAGCACATGAAAACCGTTTCTAATGTAAGAAAATGTTTTACTGAAGTTTGAAAAATAAATCACCCTACTGTCTACTTATTTTCAAATACAACAGCATCACAGACCCATAGCTATAATTAGCTACCCTCCCTTCACTTCCTGCACCATTCCTAAATATCAAGGCATTATGGATAGTTTGTGTGCTTACACATAGCTACCAGGTCACATATGCCAGGTATTTGGTACTATGTTGCAATTATGCATTACTTTTTCTCTATCATCCATGTAAAACTATATGAGTGGCATTTGTAGTCTCAGATAAATATGTACCTCAACATTTTTTTTGGAGGGGGAGGGGCATTAAAAATTAAATCTGACATGAAAATTCCGAATTTAATAAGATGCATGAGACATTCTATATTTAATAAATAAGATGCATGAGACATTCTATATTTTAAACTTCCATTCTTTTTACAGAAGAATTTTACCTATAGCCTACACAGTCATTTTTATTATGATATTTATATTTTTACACAAGGGCACCAGTAGTTTCATTTCTGGACTTACATTTACATGAAGCTCTCCTCTTCCTTGCCTGACAACAACAGCAAGCAATGCATCCAATGACGAGAGTTACAGCAATCAATATTCCTATTACAACACCTGCCACTCGACCACCACTGAAATATAATGTCAATTTTGGTACTGAAGTATTTTTATTGACAGAAAAAAAATCAATCATCCTTTTTTATGTCCTTCCTCTTTACAAATGTTACATTTAGGTTTCAGTAAGCAGCATTCATCAACTTGTATGATGAAATATACATTAAAGAGATAACAACTGTTCATATGATAGCCATATTTCACGATAAATACAGCATTAACAACTCATGGATATATAATAATTCTATTTTACCACCAAAACAGGAGTCCGCACAATTATTCTAGAATTTGTGCTTGCCATCACATCATGTGACCTCCATAGATAGCTACACTTTGTAATAAACTCTTAGGAGAACATTACAAAAAACCAAACTTTTTAGAAAAAAAAAAAAGAGGGACTAACTTTGAAAGATGCAGTGGACTCACTGACAATTGGTACAAAGATAAATTTCAATTATTAGTTTCAAAATCAACTTAATCCCTTAAGTATACATACATTGTATATCCCCTGATCTACTTACTCATCCCAGAAGCCACAACAGTACTGCTGCAGCTCTGGTCCACAGCAATACTCCAGCTCATCAGGCTGGTCCCACTCGGGGCAGATAAACTCGTTAAAAAGTGATCCATTTTCCTGGAACCTCCTAGCGCTGTTATAACAACGTGTGGGCTCTGAAAGCATACAGCGAAAAATACTGTTAGGATATTGAGCTTAATTCAAAAGTTCATTAGTGGTGTGTTATGAATGCAAACCTTATGGTATTTACTTGCTTGGCCTATGTACACACACACAATAAAATTGTTTCTTCTATCATTAGTGGCAAACACAAAAGGACTAACAACCTACAATGAGAGTTTTAAAACATCATTATCTTTGTTTTGAGCACCAAAAGCCTCTCACTTACTGATGTCCTATTTCAGATATAAAAGTTCAAAAATAAATGTCCAACAAACCTGCACCAATAAATATTCAATTGCATAATATTTAAGCCATGTTTCTATATTTTGAGTCAATCAGAAGACTCTTTTGATTTTTTCCTTTCCACCTTCTCTCTCTCTCCCTCTCTGGTACTACCAACTCAGCAGTGTTCAAATGGCAGCAAATGATGCCCAGCCAGATGACAAAACGATCAATACAATTTCCTTTCATGCTGACAGCCCTAACAGCACATATTGGCTCTCCCATTACTAACATACTTGTCACACCGCGGCTGGGTTCTATTGATTTTTGTCTTATACCACTCACAGTTGAATTGTATGATTCATATCTCAGTTTTTTTTTAAATACATCCTTTTTAACGTGTGTGTTTTATTTATGTTTCCTTCCTATTTCAAATAAAGTTACTTATGTTTTATTCACCTTTGTAAAATAGAACTTTTGCTGCAAATAGACTTTATATTTTTGCTTTCCGCCACATGACTGCATATTGCACAATCTGGCACCCTGGTTGGGAAGGCACTGAGCACAAGAGTATTTAAGAGAACTACCACACTACAATACTGTTTACATTAATGCAAAAAAATAACTATTTCTGTGCCTCTACAATAATCTTCTATAAAAAGAAGCTATGCAGATGCATCTATTTGAAGTCCTGTTGGCAGTTAATTAGATATCAGGTCTAGCACTCTGGATGTCAGTTATATTTAAAGAACAAAACACTAACCAGCCCACTCAGTGCTCTCTCACCAGATACCACACCATGTGCTGCAGTTTAAATTAAAGAGGAACGCAGCCAATATTCTGTCTGCTGACCAGTCAGACTTCATCAGGAAAATAAGGGCTGTGATAGGTATTACCACCTATCATCTGGCAGGTGTTTTAGTTAAGTCAGGTTCCCCCCCCCCCCAACTTGCCCCACCTTCCCTGATCCCATCCCTACTTAATCAATTAATTAATTTATAGTATCTGTACCTCTGTCTGGGTCCATCTTGTATCTTCTTCGTCTTTGGTACCGTGATAGGCCATACACTGTGCCCACTGCTGCTGCTGTTTTCCACCATGTGCTGCTTCTGGTACGACTTAAACTTGAACTGGACCGTGATCTGGAACTCCCTCGTGAACGACTGCCTCCACGACCACCACCACCACGACCTCCACGGGCATCTACATATTCTGTGTAAAATAAGGATCAGAAAACAATATTTTTAGAAAACTTTAGCTGGAAGGAAACAATGGCAGCTCAATGCCATTGTGATGTAACAATAACAACTAGCAAAATATAATAAGGTTTGAAATTTACATAAAATTTTTCACTGGTCAGTGACTATAATTATGATAATTGTCACTTTTATGATCATTTTGATTGTGTCAACAGAAATGCAAGGGCCCAATTGTCAAATGCACCAGGAAGATGGGGGAAAACTATAAAATCACCTCAAGGCTTCTGTAGAGTTCACAAATATAATTCCCAGACGTTTTAATTAATTTGATTAGAGTAGCTTGCTTGTGCAATCGACTCGTTTTATGGCCTTACCTGTAATTATGTAACTTAAGTGGACGTGTGCAATTTGAATAATTAAAATTAGTATGTACCGCCTAATAATGCAGCACAGAATCCACCACTGATAAGAAATATTGTATAAAAGACGAAGGTGACCGCTCAACAGAGCCATGGGAGACGGCTTGATAGTTGGAGACTTCATATAGAAGATGTAGTTAGAGAGCATCAACCAATAATCCATTAAACTGGTCATTATGTGGACTTGGGTTTTCTTTGCGCGACCTTACGTAAATCCGACACGAATCGTGGAGTCCTTGGATCGCGTTATCCACTAAGTAAGTCTAAAACGTAATGTCCTATTTCGAGCCCATGCTTGAATTAAGCGTTCAAAATTATATAAGTTTAGGACATTCATCCCATATGTATATGTAAAAGGTACATAACACTTCGTGAAAATTTATAACCCTATTCCACTCTTGCCAAGGTAAGTACAACACAGTTCCATTTTCACTAACTAGGAAATATCTGTACTAGTATCCTGTCATTTGATCAGGGGCTTATCTCTGCTTTGGCATCCTCCAAGGCCAGAGAATGTGGGCAAGTCCACGGGGAATTCTTGATCAGTAAAGAATACCAAGGTGAAAATAGCGGGACTGTTTTCAGCTGCCTACTTAAGACTAATAAAGATAGATGTGAGTCAGAAAAGTTACACATAGAAATATCAACTGCTCTTCAACCAAGCTTTTGTCTCGCTTCTTGTCATGGGCATCATGTTAAACTTAAGTATTTCAATGGAAGAATACTGGCAGTTTTATTTGTCTGCAGTACTAGTAGTTGAGTTGAAGTTGTTGAAACACTTGGATTAATATGATTTCTAGTAAGCTGATGCTATCCAGGATTAAAAGCATCTAAAACAAGGATATCTACCAAGTGTGACATAAAAGCTTTAGGAGACTAGAATATGGCATGCGTGAGAATTTGCTTTTCGATGGTGCCAACTTTTCAGCAAAAAGGATGAAATGCATTCACATCAGCAGATTAACAGATCGCGGATCAAATATGGCAACCCACTAAAAATCTTGCTTCTCAATCTTCTAAAAGTCACTGAATAGATTCCCTGCTGGAATTACCCTATAAGCATTCCAAGTGGGTTGGCTGTATTTAATCTGCAGATCAGTTGTGTATCTGTCCTAGCTTTTAGAAAACAAAAAAAGTGACAAGCAAAGCATGGTGAATTTTTACTATTTTCCATAGGCTATAATTCTGACATAACTTTAGAGAAAACAACTGAGAAAATCACTAGGAAAATATTTGTAGATAAATTCTGTCAGATTATTTCTGACCTCATTCTACCCCAAATTTTGCAATTTCTCACATGATCCTCATTAGGAAAAAAGTTGCGTAATTCTTAACCCTTGAATCATGATTGAATTAATTCAAAGTCAAGTAATTTACCCAAAACTTTGAAAATTCATTATCTGACAAACAAATTTCAGGCTATATCTAAGTATCCAACAAGAAAAAATTCAACTACAGGATAAATTTCAAACTGTTCATGTCATTTTAAAAATCTTCATTATATATATACGGTACCGTAGCCGTTACTTTGTATAAACAATGTATGGCAATCCTACCCTTTATACAGTAGCTTGGAGCCTACATGGACCCTACATGTACATGCCCACTCACTCATACCTGCATGAATTTTATTTCTTTTCTTTAACATGAATGATAAACAATGTCAACCAAGACGTAAGATATTCTGCAAACAAATATGTCCTTGGAACTAAAAATGGGGGGGGGGGCATCATATTGAAAATAACTGTTCATCAACTTCTTTGACAACAGGTTATATTTACAAACGCGGCAATGCAACATTGCAATAAGATGCATGTCCGATTATGGTCACTTTCTTCCCCTGAATCAATATATAGTGGTCTCTATTTTAGAGACCGGAGTCCTAGCACTAGTGCGGCGGCCACCTAGTACGGACCCAACTACAGCATCCAGGTAAGCACTTCGGCACANATTCAGGGGCGGATTTAGGCCGTCTTCTGGGTCTTCTGGAAGACGGTCAGATTTTCAACTTTACATTGTCAGCCATTTAATGTTTTCTGTCGGAAGACGGTCAAAAATGGAAGATGGATCAACAAAGATAATTTGGAAGACTGTCAGAAAATTTCTCTGGATCCGCCCCTGTTATTGATTGTTAGATTTTGATGAATGATTAAAATGACCACAACTAATTTAGTAGAATTAAGTTTAGATAGTTAAAGTAGGTTTTGGCTGTTAAATAGTGCCGATAGATTGTTGAATTGACGTCTGCATTTTTTGCGTGAATGGCGCTCCATAGGAATGAATTAGGCTAACTGAAATTTACAAGCCAATAATTATATCGTCTGCTGTCAGCCAGACTTCATCATGTGGGAAATATGAGGGCCGTGACGCAGACAAAATAATGCCTGATAAATGCCCGTTGATTTTTTATTGCTATTGACAAGTGAAACTATCTGTGTTTATTGATTACACATAGCAAACGAAACTGCTCGACATTGAGCACGTACTAGCACATCATGCATTTTTAACAGGGCGGCCAAATGAAACGGGAGTGTGGGGAAGGGTTACTGTTGCGATGCAGGGACCTACACATATATTACTTTTTTATAATCATTGTTCATTACATTTTAAATATTTCTGCAAATTTTCATCAAAAAATTTAAAGCAACAAGTTACCTAAACAAACAATGGTATAATGTTTCCCTAATTCTGCAGTAGGCTATTACCAGGGCCAGATGTAGGTCTCTTGGTGCCTTAAAGGGAGAGAGATTTATATTTCACAATAAAAACATTGTAAACAACTCATAGAAATATGATATATTTTGTTTTACCACAAAAACGGCAGTTGTAGCTATTATTCTGATATCTGAGCTTGTCATCTGACCTCCAGAGATGGCTATACTCTGTAATAGTCGCTTAAGAGATTA